ACAAGATGGACCGCAAATTTGTTTCGGACACTGTCAGAATATGCTCTGAAATCAAGCCAATGCTGGACATTTATGTAACTGTCTGTCTCTGTATTCCAATTCTACCAGTATTCGCAGTTTTTTTCCCCCTGCTATTTCTATAGCCAACTCCAACTCAAAGAAGGATAAAAGCAGTAGTTGCCCGGGAAACGGGTTATGTTAATTATGACTGATTATAAATCTATGTATACCGACTTAATAAGGTTACAATGAGTACTTCTATCTGCTTGGTATTGAAAGTTAAGTATAAAGTTATGGTAGAGGTCAAACTATTCTCCATAAAACACAGTTTGTATTGATATTTTTTGAAAACATGTCAAGGCCTTTCAGGATCAATAAGGAAACTAGAGTCAAACAGTAGTAGCTTGTGATTGTGGCTATGGGTTTAGATGCTTCCTATGTAATAATCATCATCAGGAAAACTTAAAAGACATTGGTGTTATCATTTTAATATGACCCACTCACTACCAGGAAGAAAGTATAACTCATTTCAAAATGTATGTCTGCTTTGAATTCTCTGAAAATGTCTGAAATGTGATTAGGGGCTGGCATGGCCCTCCCTGATATACATCAGATCTGCTTAAATTAGTGGCATGAAGCTGCACAGGCCAGACCAGTGGCTTCAGTCAACCCCTCTGCCTGGATGTGGGCACTAAGGAGGTTAGGACAGGAAATAGGAGAGGACAGAGAAGACGGATAGAGAAAGAAGAGAGGACAAATACATAAGCAGAGTGGAGAGAAGGGAAAGACTTGTGATTTATGGGAGAATGAGAGAACAAATGAGGCGTGAGGGAAGAAAAAGAGCTAAGAGAAAACAAGAAAGAGGCTTGGTGATGGAAGACTCAACAAACTACAGCTTGAAAGGCAAAGGTAGACGAGCGAGCACTACTGTTGACTAGCTAATGTGCTTGTATGTTTTCAAGGCTGTGTGTGTGTTTTTTTAATTGAAAAAGACAAAAGATACATTTCCATACAAACTACGTGGCCCTGAGAGCTCAAAGCACTGCAACTCATGCAAATAGACAAATTAAGAAAACATCTTCACAGGTTTGACAACATACGCGGAGCATTAAGAAAAAAATGTGCAAATACAGAAAACCCTGCAAGTAGCACAGACGACAGGGGACACACGCTAACACGGCTGGGGACACATTTGTGCCACCAAAACATATTTTAGCTCAGCCCCACTTAGCCAACTTCAATAACATGCATGTCTCAGCCGTGTTCATTGCTTTTTAGTGTCCCCTGGAAATGGTTCTTGTTGTCGGTCTTATCTGTGCCACTAGTGTTTTCTATTTGGTTGCATTTTCTCACTTTGCAGCTTTGTTTTCTAAATGCTGTGCAAGTGTTGTCAAATTGAGGATGTTTTCTTAAATTTACTTGTGTTGTGTCTATTTGCATGTGTTTTAAGTACATTGAGCTCTCAGGGCCACCGTAACAAACTATTTATTGGAAATTATTATATTATATTATTATATTAATAATTATTATTATATGTCTCTATTATACTAATCCGATCCACACATTAAAAGAATTTTAAAGGGGAAAATTCTGTGTTAGATTTTTTAACATGACAGACTGTGACGTTGTAGCAGAGCATGCAACATGCAAGAGCATTAACCCATTTTGTTCATGTTATGCACAGTAAGTGGTAGAGTAAGAAAAATCCCTCTTTTCTGACCATCTCTTCTAAAGGGTAAAGCTTTGCTTTGCTGCTCTCTCAGTAGTGTTTACTTAAGAAACAAGACAAGAAATGGAATGGTAAATGGACTGGGTAAAAGAGCGTAATGTAGTTATATAGAGACAACTTGAGCCATCTGAAAGCACACTGTCTGAGATAAATTCAATTAAGAAAAGAATAGAAACTTCAGCCTAAACACACCCTGTCTAATATCAGTGTTAAACAGCCTTGTGAGTCAAAACAATGTGAATTTTCTGAATATCCTGTGGGTGGTAGCTATATTATTCTGGCTGTTACTTTACACTGGACTACTATTAACTCCAGTTTGTCTGTGCATCTTTGATTAGAGGGAGTTAAAATGGAGATTACTAGGTCAGCTGAGATAACAATGCTATTAGGGTTTATTGATAAGACGTTGTCCCTCTTTACACTTGGACAGCCCATATCATTATGAGGACTATCATCTGAGTGGGCCAGCTGCTAGCAGTACACAATCGTTGCCATAGGGATGGTGTCCAGGGAGACAGCTGTGGCCTTTTAGCAGCAGCCACACAGAAGGTCATTCCTCACCTAAGGTACCTTTCTCCGACTGTCCATCACAGATTGTTTCCAGGCAACCGGTCTAAAGCTTTTTGTTTTGTTTTTTTTTCTCCTAGGAAGCAGTCCACCTTCTGAGTATTTTTTCTTGCCATTTAGGTAGCAAAAGAACAAATGAACTGGACAGACAGAGAGACGAGAATCTAGCTAAAGTGCCCCATGAAACTCATTCTCAAAGATACAACAGGGAATAAATGCAACAGTGCAGGGTGGTGGATTTTAGGCATTTAGCTGACAGCCTGACCTTATCTGACATAGCATATAGTTTCAATGATCTGGGTGTGGTCACTGATTCCCCAAAGATGACAATCCATAGTCGCACTTTGTCTTGCCCCTCAATTACACTATTGCTCTTTGACAAAATGGGCACGAAAACTGTTTACCAAACTAAGGGTGACCATTTTTGGGAGGGAGCAAGCATCAGATGCCTAGGCTGCTGATACCACACTGGATTTGAAGCAACTATTTAGGATGAAAACAACGTACACTTAACCAGAATGTGCAATACCCAATTACACTGACAGCAGCAAAAACCATATTATAGTGTTACTATATTACAATAACGATAGGCATATGGCTGCTACTACATTTAGATGCATTCAGAAATAACTTAATTTCTTGCAGCCAATATCACCTTGTGCAACAGATATAGAAAAGCACACTATGTCATGCTGCTAATATGTGAATATGTGATTTGTTTTACAGCGAAAACTGTATACATAACAACAATACATTATGCAGTAAAAACGTAGAATAGAGTTGACATTAACGAACCTTGAAAGCCAGGAAAGGGGCCTTTGTTTGTGAGGCCATTCATTTAGACCAAAGTGGCTAACTGGCTAATCAGCCATCTGGAATGAGTGAGTGTGTGTGTGTGTGTGTGTGTGTGTTTATATATATATATGTGTGTGTGTGTGTGTGTGTGTGTGTGTTTATATATATATATGTGTGTGTGTGTGTGTGTGTGTTTTGTACCAGAATATTTCTTAATCTTATATCTTCAATCTACTGACCTTTTGACCATCACCATCTACATTTAGTCCAGCTGTAAATTTGATAATTTCACTTTAAATATCTGTGGCCATATTTCCTTAACCTAATAAAAAAAAAGAAAGAAAAACAATTCATTTAGTAGTAAAATAAAAATGGATGGATGTGACACTCCACCATCTTGTTTATTCTTTCAATACCCTCAGTAAGCCCAGAGTATATCTGCATGAGCAAATATGCAAGAGTGAACCCACTCTCATGACTTCTCCTAGTCCGACTGATCCATAGCTGAGTCTGTCTTTGCATGAATGACCATGATGCAGTCTGTGATAGTGTAGCTGTCAGCAGTGACAGCAGAAAGACTGCCAGGCACCCAGCTGGACTACCTCCAATAGTATTTGTATATAAAAACACATGAACACTCTCATACACACACACACACACGTAATTAGATACAATTATAAATTATTAAATTATATTATTAAGTTATGTTGCTGACATGTTAGCTATAATGATAGACACCAGGGCAAGGTTTGTGCCAAGGTTTTGGCTGTGAGCTGGGCAAAATCTCCCATTAGGCAGGTTGCCATAGATTTCACCATTCGAAAAGGTGCTATTATGTTGAGATAAAACAGGGAAAATGCACACAAGTTAACATTGTGCTGTGTTATTTATAAGCTCATATAGTGAGAGGAGAGTGTCCGGTGGTTTCTGTGAAAGTTTTACTCATGATGGTTCTTCTCAGTGGGAGAAAGAGTAATGGGTAATTCTATATTTGTATCTAGTTTTCAAATATGGAGGCAACAAGTAGGAGACTAGCAAATTATTTGGGATTCTGTTTACATGTTTTTCAAATATGAACTCATGTATGCTTCTATGCCACATCAATGAGAAGAAGGCAACAATGCTCTCAATCACAAACCAAATGAGTGGTGTGACAAACTATTTTAGCCTGAGAGCTCCACTGAATTGAACCATTGCCAATAAAATGTTTGTAAATGCAGACTGTAGCATGCAGGTTTTGCTCCATTTTACTGAAACTAATTTCAAGCTATTGAGGCTTATAACAGAAGCAGCCATTATGCGCTGTCAGTTCCCCTCTGACAGTCTGTCCACACTCCTGCAAATGGGCGTGTTGCCAAGACAACGGCTCACACACCTTGCCATCTGAGACCACCTGGGGGAGGACAAATTCACTAAATACACAAATGCATGCATGAACATACAGTGCAAACAAAAATATACATGGCCGCACACACACACACACACACACACACACACACACTCCCATGTACAATACACCCCAAACCACACGCCCCTCCTTATCTATTTTACACCACATTACACATGCCCACATGTCTGCATAACCAAGACCAAACTGAGGGAGTATATATGTGCACAGGGCCATGCGAGTCACCCACTATACACAGCTGCATCCTTGAAGAATAAAAGCTGCAACAGGCACTACAATACGGTGTATGCACACTCTCCACATACAGTAAGTAAGCACCACAGTAATAACACCGTAACTGTTTCAATTTCCAGAGGAGAGGTATCAGTAATACTATTTACTCATTGGCAGGCACAAAAACCTGGCAAATAATGAGTGTGTGTGAACAGTTGAAAGACAGAGATTATCTACGTATATGAGAGAAAAAAGACAAAACTGGGGTGGTGAGAGTGGGAAGTTTACCAGTTTCCTATACTGTTGTTTCTCTTGGCGAAGCGTAGCTACCTCAATCTTCAGGGCTCGGTTTCTCTCCTCCAGCAATCGAAAGCGGTTCACATAGTAGACGGCGTGTCCTGTAGCTTGCTGGGATGAAACTTCACATCTTAACTGCAAAAAAGAAGCAAAGAACGGCAGCACTTTGAGCTAAATGATGTCAGTATACTCACAATGGCATGCCGATGCTAAGCAAGTATAATGTTTACTTTTTTCCCCATCATAGTTTAGTATATTAGCATGCTAACCTTTTTTTTCTAATTAGCATTGAACCTAGAAGTACAGCTAAACCAAAAAATGGGACAAATAGAAAGTTTGACCTGATGATGACATAAGAAAGAAAGTCATGAGATCACCAGAGTTGTTCCAATTCATCCTGAGGGGAACATGAATGTGTGTACTAAATTTCATGGCAATCCATTTCACTCAAAACCTCATAAGGGCATTATCGATATTGGTACCAGATCACATGGCAATTCATCCAATAGTTGTTAAGATAATTCAGTCTGGATCAAAGTGGTGGACCATACAACTGACCAGCAGACAGACTGACTAGTCGGTATTAAAAATGATACTAATGGAAGAAACAAGCACCTAATATAAGTTATACAAAAGGACATATGGTTACTGTCAATCTTGCTTACAGTTATGTACTTGGGCTTTAGTTCCATCCCATGGGGTCAGTCACAGGAAAAGGATTACCAGGCCTGAAAATGGTGCTGCTACAGCAACAGGTTTGAGCCTCGGCAGGATTTGCCAGTCAGTGTTTTTCTCCTTAGAAAATTTCTTGATGGGATTGAACCCTCCACGGACATACACCGCATATCTGTAATAAGCAGGCTGGAAGCTTCTCTTGATGTCTGTGAATAGTTTCCTGTATTGCTCAGTTAGTTTTCCTTCATGCCAGACATCAATTTCTACAATTTGATGACACTTTTGAGTTCACAGTTGTCTTGCTTTGGAATAGAACTGCTCTGCTGTCAATCTTGCACTTTTAAAAATTTCCAATCACTTCGAGGCCACCGGAGGGGTTGCAGATGATAGAGGAGCTGAACAGCTGTTAAGCTGAGGTAAGGCGGAAGCTGATTTGGGATAAGTTGACATAAACTTTACCTGTGCCTCCTGAAATTAAACACCCTCCAACGATATAAGCATGCCCTTTGCTCTGTTTTGTGCCAGGGGAAATAACTCTTTCCTATTAGTTAATCTAAAAATGGATTTGATGCTCCGCTCCAGTCTATGTACTATGAGTAATATAAATGTATGAAATAGGAACATTTTCAAGAGCTACAATCTGATATCCCAAACTAGGTGTAGTCTTCCTATTTGCCTCCTGAAAAAGCACACATAGCCAGCCCAGCCACTCTAATATTACCACAGCTATAAAAGGAAAACATTAGCACCCTAGACAAAAGAAACCTGTGCTGCATTAATTTGAAGCCTGTTCACTTTCTCTTTTCGCCCCCTTCCATCTCTGCTCTACAAAATTTAAATTACATTTTTCCATTTGGAGGAAATTAAGGAAGAGGTGAAAATGTCATCCCATTGTTCTCTTCCTCATAGTAACCCCTGAGAGACCAACCATCAGATGGTTCTAATATCAGTTTATATTATTCTAATATATCAATTAGCATGTTGCCAGAGCATTTGGTATCTTGTCAGGCGCACAAACAAACTCTCACACACACACACAGACGCACGTAACAACCGGATCCTCTGACTGCACGCCAAACTATCATCCTCCACAAAACAAAACACTAAAAACAAAGGTGCAGGCAATATGTCGGTTTATACAGATAGCCAAAGCTACCAAAGCCAGTGTGATGGACCTGCCAAGCAGACAGAAAGATAGCCAGATCCACCTGCTAATACAGCAGACCTGCCAAGCAGACAAGCCTACAGATAGACCCACCAGTGTAATATGGTGGACTTTCCAAGAACATACAAAGAGATGGATATACCTGCCAACCAATGCTGTTGGTTTTCCAATAGGACAGACAGACTAACACATTCAGTCAGCCTATTTAGAGTGAGATATTAGGCCGTATGGACAGCCATGTGAGAACCGCTTTATTTGTCATTTAGGCCAGAAATCTACCAAAACTTTAATGTGCACTCAAAAATAAATCTGAAACAGGTGACAACGTGTTCAGAACAGAGAAGAAGAAATGTTTGGTTCTGAACATTTCATGCGTGACAAATCTTTTAGACACTTTTTATTCCATCCAAAATATGAAAATTATAAAATGATTGCATCCAACAAAGCAAATTAACAAAATTTCTTCAACATCCTATCAATGCCAGGTTGAGGCATCTAAATAAGACATGATCAAGTTCAGTCCAATCAGACAACAAAGGCTGTGACTGCAACTAGTCCCGTGTCGGGCAGGGCCCAGTAGCGCCGTCCACTTGGGAGACATCATCCTTGTACCGAGGGAGCTGCCAAAGCTTTTCTGACAGGAGCTGCGTCAGAGTTTAGAATCGTGACGCACTCGTTCACTCTGGGGCCACAGGAAATACTGACAAGAACTCCGGCTAAATTTGAGGCAGGAGGGGAGGAATTAAAAAAAAAAAAAAAAGGGACACAGCGAAAGGTACAGAGAGAGAGAGACAGAGAGAGAGAGATTCTGGGCCATGCAGGCATGTACTCCCAAAGATGGGTCGTCTCGCACCCTTTCAGAATGCCAGCGTTTTAATTCAGTGTGGATGAGCAAAGGACACACTGCATCATAAGTATTTGTTCTCCAAAACTGGGCATTCATTCATCCAGTTATTACAGTATGTGATGAAACAGTTGTTATATTTATTTTGCTTGTTTGGTAAGAAGGTCCACAACATTACACCACTGTGGATGACCACAAGATGAGATACCAAAAAATAGAAAAACTGTATGAATAAGCAGTTTGAGAATTTAGACTAGAGAGGAACAAAGAATTCATTAGTAGAGAAAAAAGTGCAGAATTGGCAGAATGGATGAGAGAGAGAAGACCCCGCGGCAACCACCTTGAGACTCTTATCAAATACAGGATTTTCCTTTGTGTATGTGTTTAATATTCGGTTTTTCTTCCTTTTTGTATTTGTCACAGTGGAACAAGCACAAAAATAATAATCATTTCCGAGTACTTGTCTACATCTTGTACAATATCTCATGAGTATCCCGGTGTTTCCAAGCACTTTATTAAAAAATGGCTCTTTTGTTTCTGTCAACTACTATTGAAGGTGATGTCTGTCTTCCCAGTATCATGTAATGATCTACTCAGTGTCCCTCACCTTGATTCAGTTATCTACGTTGATATTTTGATTGACACACAATGTAAAATGTTTTCACCACTTTAGACTCTGAGAGAATTTACTTTTTGTCTATGCCAACTGCGATACAAAAGTTAAGAAACAGCACCAAAAGTATTCTGTGCACAGCTCAAATGCATGTCAGCAGAGCAGAAACCTGAGGTCAAAAGGGCTTTAACCTGGGTTAGCAGGGTGGAGTTCTTACTGTGGGTATTTCAAAAGAAAGAAAAGAACACAAGGGCAGCACACTGTACAAGCCAGGATTCAATGAGACAATGAGATTCATGGACAAATTTCTCGGAAAATGCCTCGTAAAATACCACAGAGATCATTTTCTATACAATTTATTCCTATGAAAGCAACATCAGAAACATATTTCCCACTTCTGTGAATTGTCTGACCTGCACAAAACTGTTGACAACACCAATGATGGGTACACTCTGGATGGATTATCCATTTAAAACTGATCCACAACTGGAGGCTGGGGAACGGGGCAGAACAACAGAACAGCAGATAATGTGGTAGCTATTAAGATGTTACAGCATATAATTATGTAATAGGGGCTTTTATACTACTTAATGTGGTGCACAGTTCGGCCTACCTCCACTTTTGTTTTAATTAGGAGCTACAAATAGATTTGAATTCATCATGACACCAAAAAGTGATATGTGTGTATTCATTCAATGGTTCACTTTATAAAAAAAGGATCGTTTTCTAGGATTTTTATGGCTATTCTGCTTTGTTGGGTGACTTATGGTGGAGGGACACAGGAGAATGGATTAGGAAGGCAGCATGTGGTGGCTGGACTTGAACCAAGGGCATTGTGGTTAAGTGGCGTGTGCTCACCCCAAGGTAATCTTCTTTTGACTGGTGGTTGATTTGAATAGATTGTCATATCGCCATCTGGCGTGTGAAAGAAATAATTGCATCGGTGCAGCCTGATGCAGTCATCTGTGGATGTACAACTACTGACCAACCCTTAAACAGATTTTCTCCCCCCAAAAAAAGCGAATCAGTCTTTTCAAACCCATTAAGCTTAAGTGTTTTTGTGAATGTGTTTTACTTTGGATTTAGACAGACTGTTATAAATCTAGAGTCAACTACTCAGGAGAGAAATTATTCCCTAGCATTGCCAAACACTCAATCACTGTTCATTAGGGGAATATTTTTTTATCTTATGGTTCCCAGAATGTAATAAATCTCTGAGAATCACAGCAGCTAGCAGAACAGCACTGTTTTGAAATTAAGAAAATCAACAGTATCAAATCATCTAAAAGGGACTGAGACTGTACAGACATGTATGTTTTTTTCTCACACAGATAATGACAACGTCCCTACCTTAAAGGCAGTACCCCCTTTGTCCCAAAATGACTCTCTTCCCTTCCCGTCACATCACACGCTGGCAGTGAAGGCGGAGGTGACGCGTCCCTGTGTGCGCACGTGTATGCCGGTGTATAAGTGCCTGTGTGTGCAGTTGCAACAAGCGTTTCCAATCTGCAGCTTTAATAGCTTGCCTAGTCTGTACGCCGCTGTAACAGGCTGGATGTCTCACCCTATCAGTGAAAGCAAAAACAGCCACAGTGGCTTGGCGTACTCTCTCTCTCTCTCGCTCTCTCACTCTCACACACACACACACACACACACACAGTCACACAAACACTCCCTCCGTCCCACCCCTGAATCTGTTAACGCTTCCTCTCGCGCACTCTGCTCTTCCCTCCAGTTGTGCTTTAAACCCCCCACCCTCCTTCTCTTTTAGCTTTCCATCTCGCTCATACGCAGACATGTGCACGCCCTGCTCAACTGACCAAAAAACGTCACACATGCAAAAAAAACAAAAACACATACACACACACACAAACACACACACACAGCTTTCATTTAAATAAATCTGTTGAGCAGTGATGTGTAAATCATTACATCATAGATGAGCATTTCTTTCTCTGAATACATATCCTAAGCAGAGCAGATCATGGTCCAGCATCCCTGTCTCCTCTGTATATTACTTTCTAACAGACAAGAGAATGACTTTCTGTTTTTCTAACAGAAGCAATGATCCATACGTCACTCCATCATACATTTCTGTATTTCAGTCATTAGTGTTTCTTTGGTATTACTACTTGTAACTTTCCTCTAGCATCGCATTAAATCAAATCCACACTGTCATGTTCCTGGACAGACCACAACCAGATACAACTGTCTCTTTGCTCTCTTCACCTCCTCTAAATCCCTAATCTGTGGACTCAAATTAAATCGGTGTGGTGGTTTTTACTGAGGCTACATCTGCAGCAGGCGTTCAGTGTATTCTGTTGATAGCCGTTCTCTGTTTTAACACTGGGACGGAGGGCACAGGACAGAGGAGAGGACAGAAAAAAAGAGCCACTAAGTGTGCGTGAGTGAGAAGAGAAAGCAGAACGTACGCTCTGTTCCACTCTGTTGCCTAGCAACGTCCGCTCACTCTCTGTTCCCATCCTTACTGTAGACACATTACACTCGTTGTTGGTTGTTGGTTTTCAGGCATGACATGAAGCCCTGTGAGAGCCGGGTTCAGGAACAGATGGAAACTGGATTAGGCAGAAATATGCAATGACCCCTTTAAATATGCAAATAGCTGAAGGCGATGTGTCATTTAACTCCTTAAACAAGCTGCTACGTTTGGACCACGTCATAGCTCGGCCTCTTTCTCAACTTGGTGGATTTTTCACACTGAAATGTGTATTCAGACATATGCTGTCCTCTTCTGGACATATTTGTAAATCGTTTGGAATGGAATAAAAGTAATGGCAGAGATGGTGTTATTGGTTGAACACTATATGCATGGTCACACACTGTTTTCCAGGAAGCTAAAAGAATATATATTTATATATGATGGAGTGATTTTGCAATAGAAATACGAAAAGGAGATACTATGGAAAATACTAAATACAAAATGGCACCAATATAAAAAAGTTGTTTTGATATTTCATTTAAAGGTCTGAGTGTTCTCATTGGTCCATTGCAGTGATGGAGTAACAGTCAAGGTTAGAAAGTCTTACAATATATCATTAACTTTTATAAAATGAAATAATTCGATTCTGAATGTTGGCCTGCCGCTTTCCATCACAACTCTTTTGTTAGGGTCACATGAGGTAAAAGATTATTTAAAACAAGGGATTTGTGCTCAAAAAGGAAAACTCTCTACTTTGCAAATGTTAAGACTGGAGGAGCTGGAAAGAGACTAAATAACATTCAGCAATACAAATGGTGATCGTGTTGGAGAGCAAACGTGGATGTTGAGATCACATCCTAATTTTGTTGCACTTTATAGCATGGTTCGGAAAAATCTAATGTTATGTCATAATGATGTGTAATGAAGATCTGTCAGATTAGGTTGAGCAGATGTTCTTTTTTTCTAGGAAAAGTCCATAAATTTGGTGCTTCATCCCCAGATTTCCTCCTCTCAAGTGGACTGCTTTATGTTAGTAACAGGATAATTTTATCATGGCTAGCAGGAATATAAACTCTTAGATTAGTTTGTTCTTGGCTATAGAAGCATGGTAGTAACAGGCCCACAGTATGTGGTACCACATTACCTTGCCCTTGGCGTGCAGGTGGTGATGGTGTATGTTTCTGGCAGTGATCATGGCCAGCTGTCTCTGGATCCACTGTAACTCCATCTGAGACTGCCTCAGCAGCTCCTCCACATGAACACTGGACGTGTGATCCCGCATTATCACCTGCAAAACCCACACAACCAGATATTACACGCGCTGCAAACTTCACACTCTCCTTACACCTCCATACAAGCACACGGTTGCTGAACCACACATGCAAACAAAACCAAAACATACAACTGAATGTGTACATAATAAAGGTACTGAAAGATATACGTACACAAAAGGTATATTTGAGGTACATGTTTTGTTTTGAGTGATTCTAGTTAAGATTTATACTTTGTTCCACCATATTTTGCCACTGAAAAACTAATGCATATGAAAACTGAATTTAGTTGTTTACTTTTTGTTATTTGAGTAATTTCTAAGAGTTTAGATAAGTGATATTCCTGAGTACATCTACTGCATTTACCATGTACTGTCAATTTGTCAATGTCATTAAAAAAATGTTTTCTCTTTTATTTTGGTAGTCTGCCACCCAAAACATTATATAATACATCCATCAGCAAAAAAAAAGCTTTGATTTACAAATCAAAATCATTTCAAGCTAAACATAACAAAATGCACATGTTCGACAGTTATTACAAGTACAAGTAAAATGTGTCAGATGTTTTATTTTGCTTCATCATCAAAAATGTCCCCCCTTACTAATTTGACCTGAAACAAATACCTTTGAATGTTGCACATAAAGATGGAGAAGCTATAAACACATAGAGAAGAACACATGGCATATTGCATGCACATAGCACTAACAAATCTAGCAAAGAGTTTCTTGGCACTTACTGTACAATTCCTTCATCTTCTTTCATTAACATCACTTAACTTGCTTGTTACTGTAAGTGCATAATCAACCCCTCACAGCAAACATTTCCAATTTAACACTGCTGCCCCCCCTGCATCAGTTGGTCTACATGCATTTGTAGGTGCCGACTGTCTGGTATGATTGATATATACGTGTGTGCCCATGTGCAAGTGTATGAGTGTGTTCAGTGAAAAAGAGAGAGAGTGAGAGAGGGCTTCACTAAGTTACATAAGAGAGGATTACTGTATCACAGCAACACAATGACGGGGGGGGGGGCATCAGCTTTTATCAGTCGGTGCTAAATCCCCATCTACTCTGTACTGTTTTGTACCTTTGCGCAGACACACACACACACACACACACAACCGTGAATACCATATTCACAGTAACTACTATACAGTGACACACAGGAGGTTAAGAAGGTTAATGCTGCTTGTACCTCAGGAGATTTGACTTATCTGACTCTACTGCTGCATCATAATAAAACTCAACAGTCATCTGTTTTCTGTCTGATTTTGCTTTTTTTGTCACAAACAAAAACAACTGCAGAGCAAGATCACATTAAAAAAAAAAACATTTTTAATCAGAGATAGTGAAAAAGTGACATTATCAACACTAAAGTGGCAATAATTAATGGACAAATACAAGTGATTTGTTTTCATACTTATTCTAAGGGGGTAGTAGTGAAAACAAAACTGTAGGATAAATCAGCTCCCTCTTTCCCTGTCTTTTTAAAGCTGTTTGAGCCAAATGCTCAAACAGCTTCTCTGTGCTGACTCACCTTGGACAGCTTCTATTTCCTTGCAGGGGACTGGAGGAGGAGGACAGACACATCAACAACAACAACAACACGGAAAGCTCAGGAGTCCTGTAGATTTATGCAGAACTGTCCCATCCTGCGAAGCCCTCTATCAACCTGCAGTGCAAAGCATCTCTCACACAGATTTATCAAAGTGAGAGGAAAGAGCTGCCTACGTCATTATCCAGGCCTGAATGAGGGTTTTCATTTGCTACCAATTAATAGGATTGATATTGCTGCTTTATTCTGGAATATCTCTCTGAAGAAGTGCATTATTATTGTGATGCTGTGTAGTCGACTCAGCTTGATTCTGAGCAAACAACTCTTCATCGTTGCCCTGTTTTGCACTTGAGCACATAGTCATACCCAACTTTAGATGTCACTTGAACAAGTGGAGTTCAGTAATGGGGTCTCCGCATTATTTCAAACAAAAGAAGTTCCTCTTACACAATATATTTATAAAAGCAGCTGTGAATGGTTTTCAATGCATGCACTTTGTTTGCACAGGAAGAGTTTAAGCCACTGGAGAATACTTACTAAAAATTGCAGTTTGCATATCCTTAAAAAAAAGCAATAGTAGTATAAGAGGATACAATCTTGCACATGAAAAAGTTAAATATTCATAAAAATACTGACATGCATAAAGTTCAATGTTTTTCAGTAAAGTAGTGTACATTGTCAGGAATAACTCCATAGTATTATTACCCATCCAAGTGATGCTCTTTGGTTTCTCCCATCCTCCTTACAGAGATCTTGGCTGGCTTCTTATGATCCCAGGTTTGGCTAACTCTGGTGCCATGTGTCTGCCTTGTAATCCAACATAAGCCTTAAAAAAAATAAACACATAAACACTCTAAAACTCACTACTAACTATGGGCAGGGATGCTGTACATCACTGCACTACATAACCATGGCTCCTGTCTCTGAGTACATATTTTGGAAAGCTTCTCCCTGATATGACTTGCTTTTTTCATACTGAAGTCAGTTATGATTCAGAATTTTATCTCAGGGCGTTCTTGTACCCAAGGCTGCCTGCTGCGTGTCCATATGGCACACTTAACAAGAGGGTGAAATATAAACAGGAGACGGAAAAGAGCATTTAAGGCTAACCTCTCACCTGTTATCACGATATGAGGGGAGAACCGGCCTCACGACGATGTCGACATTATCCGGTGATTAGGTCGTTGGCATACACACTTTAATGGTGGTTTCACTTAGCCCGATTAGCTCCTCTCCGGACAGTGTTTACGCTGCACTTTATTGGATGCCACTTAATATTATTAATTATTAATTAATATTGAATAAATACATAAATAAATATGCCTTCGAAATATTGACAAACATTCCATAATACTTTATCTCTAGCTCTCAGGTGCAATTTTGTTGCGGGGAACTCGCTTTTAGCTAGCTCATGGAGTTTGGTTATATCACATAAATTCAAACATGGCTGCACCATTCTTACTTTATATAACCTGAATGAGTGACAACACCTGTGTTGGTGTGCGGGGCCTTTATACAGTCCTGACATATTCTCGCCTTGTAAAGGTTGTTTACACCAAGCTAATCTGTGTCTACGTCCTGTTTTCTAGCCAACTGATACAAAAAAATATATTTTGCAAACATTTTATCATAATTGTATTACTGTTGTCAAAATCTGCTAAGAAAATGTTGTTCTTATAGTGTGTACTGGAAATATGGAATGGAAATGAAAATGGCTACCATAGTTGTGAGACTCACTGAAATCAATTAAAGTTCCATACATTTAGCGCAGTCTGGCTACTATGCACTACTACTGTGTCTGTGTGTTCTTCACTGACCATTTTGCACATACAGCATTCAAACTTGTACAGAAATTAATATGGAGTAAAAGCTTCAACTTCTAACTCAAACCCCATTCATATGTAACTGGTAACATTTAACAGTGCAAAAAATGTTTATTCACCATGAGCTTTGTAAAATGTTTTTATTGATGAAAACTATACATATCAATGGTCATGGAGAAAAACATAACACAACTCCAGATGTATTACTGTTGTTCTTACTCTCTTGTTCTAGCCGGTGCTGGTCTCAAAGAAGGATTTATAGGTTTTTTTTAGGAAGAGAAGCCTGTCCCAGCCTTCCTGTTCAGGGCAAATTGGTGCAAACATTCACCTTGGCAGATGAACTGGTCCCAGAAATTCATACCACACTGTGAATGCAGTTTCTTGTTTTATTTACTTATTTTAATCCAGACAGAAGTGCTGTCCTAACACATCTCCGACTCCTTTTAGTAACTGGGTGGCAGTTTCAAACTCCAGTGGGATGTTCTTGATCTGAGACTGCTTCAAGTCTCTCTCCATCAGCTGGGGATAGGAACATGGGACACATTATTTATGCTACTCAGATGACTATAAGATGAGTATTAGCAATAATAGATTTAAAGTTCCCTTGCATTGCTGTTTAAGCGGAATCTAAACTATTAAATTTTACACAAACGCATGAAGAAACCAGTAAAGTTTTGAAGTGTCACATCACCTCATATGTTGTTATCTCCAGCACCTCGCTAATGTCATCCTCTTTTTCTGGCAGTGGTGTGTTGATCAACATAGCGGCTTTGGCCACATCTGGATGGTGATGCTTCTGCAGTGTCTGCAGGGAAGGAGAAGAATTAAAATTCTAGTTTACTAAATAAAAGTATACTTTCCATTAAGTTGGGCTCCTACATGTATGTGATATTCCTTCATCACATTTTCCAATCAACGACACAAAAACAATTGGCTTGCACAAGTCATAGCTCAGTCGTAGTCTGTGTCATGGATGATTCATTCACCGTCACATACTGTACGCACCTTAATCTCCCACAAGCTGCTCTCTAAGGCACGGCACTGAGCAGGATCCTCTTCATCCATTAGATACGGGTCTTCCAAAGGCTCTGTCATTAGGAAGAGACACAGGACAAATACATGAATTGAAGAAGATTGTACATCACAGTAAAATTCTTACAAATTGTCTTGATATTAATATTATATTGCAACAAACCGGACTGGGAATCTAAAACCACTGAAATGTTCAATGGTAAGAAATTATAAATGTTGAGAAATTCCATCATAAACAGAAGAGGAGACTCACCATCTTCTGTGCTGGGCTTGTGAACAAGGACTCTGCAGGATGGGTGGCGACGGATCAGGTTGTAGATGAAAGGTAGCACTATGAGGAGGCCTGTAGACGGTGCTGTGAGAGCCAAGCGAGCCAGGCGTTTGGCAAACGCAGCCACCAGGTATACCGGCAGGTGACTGGAAGTAAGCACAAACGCATATACAACATATTTTTAAACTTTTATGGTAATTTCTATGATCAAAAACAGATTCTCCCCAGACACTACTGCTGCAGTATAATTTAACCTTTATGTAGACAAGTGAGGCTCATCAGGGGATAACAAATAAAAGGTGTGGTTGGACTGGGAAATCTACTGCAGCACTGCAGCAGCTCAACTATAAATAGTGTTTACTACAACTGTTTACCTGTCCAGTGCTCGACGAGGACAGACAACTATAACTGATACACTAAAGATTAAAAAAAAAAAACATTTAGTGAAGCATGAAGGATCTTACCTGGAGCTAAGGAAGAGGTTAGCTAGGTGGAAGAAGCGTGCTCTGTACTTCACGTGGAAAATAGAAGGCTCAAGCAGATTATACAACTTCTTGTAGAAATCAGGGTAATCTCTGCAAACACACACACACGCAACCTTGAGTACACTATTAATGTAATTCAGAAATATCTTTGAGTTTACTGTTGTATAGATTCAGAATTAAGTTCATTTGTGTGCGTTCATTTTCTTCTACATATTACTGTAATTAATGTGACGATAAAAAGTGGCCAAAATCTATGTATTTCTTACATAAATACTCACAGGTTGTGTTGATGTATGAGGACAAAAAGGCCATTGAGGGCCAGCAGGCTGATAGCGCCACCTGTTTAAAAAAAGGACAAAAACATGATGATTACCAGCATCACCCTTTAGAAATAATACATCCCACAGAAAAGGTGTAAAAAATACCACTATGGTTATTTTAACGTCACTGAGTACTGTCACAACTTACCAACTTCATAGGCAGCAGTCAAGAAGTCAATCATCAGTGTGGGTTTACTCATGTGGGGCAAAATGGAGTCATGGAGGATCACCAGGACCTTTTTATACATGTTGCTTGGCAACTACAACAGAGAGATTAGAAATTAATGAGACACAGTGCACAGTGTCGTAGATATTTACACACAATACATTTTGATTGTAGAAAATGTTTTGAACTTATTTTTTTTAATAATACCTTGTACTTGAGAAAGCCCAGCCACATCTTCTCAAAGACACGCTTGTGTTCCTGTAATGAGGTACAACATTTTAAAATCGTATTCAGGAAACATTTAAACAACAAGCAGAAATGTGAATGTCTGATTAAAAACATTTTACTTACATTCAGTTTAGCAGCTTTCCAGTCCTCATGCTTGGCTGGAAAAATATACATCACACAGTGGCAGTTCAGCATCACAGCAAAAAAGAAACACACACTATGGCATTGTCAAAAAGCAGCTCTCACCTTCCTGTTTGACCATGAAGTTGGTGAGCTCTGACTCCTGGCTGGGCACACTGATGTTGGACACGAGGGTGAACACATTGGTCTGATATACAGGCATCACTGCCTGGGGAGGGACAAGACAAGCCAAGAGTATTCAGCAAACCAAGTAATATACGTGAACTGCATCCAAACTGTAACAATGAAAGCATTAAACAAGCACAGCTACAGCACATGAGCTAAGCACTAGACAAGAGTTTTCCTACCCCTTTGCTTTTGTCCATGACTTTGCCCACATTCTCCCGGACAGAGCTCATGACGTAATAGCGTACATCCTCCATCTCAAGGAACTCCTGGAATCTGGAGATGAGCAGTGAATTGTCTGTAGTTTTGGAAAGCAGCCTTTCCACCACTGCCTGGCCATGAAATGACAACAGAAATATCAGAATGTGCCTGTGCCACTAATGAAATAAAAGGCTGGTGTTTTCAATTAAATTAATTATTAAATTACATTAATGCTATTTATATTATCGTCGCCACCACTGATGGCCAGGCTGCATGACAAAAATTCCTACCAGGATGAGTTCTCTTGGAAAGCTGTAGTGTTCACTCCAGTCCAAGTCCTCGAGGGGATGCTGTCCTTCTGCTGCAGCAAACTTCATAAGGCAGCAGAGGGCACTCTCCTGTAACCAAACAGTTATTTATTTAAAAAAGACAGACAAACTTGGATCTCCTTTCTCAGGTCCATCATAATGGTTCATTACAGATTTGTTTACTGCAAGATCAGAGAGCTAACAACTAAATGTTGATTGGCCTCAGTGGACCTGAGCTGGTATGCCACGACACAAGAACAAAGGCAATAATCTACCACATAATACTTGATTCCCTTTGTCATCTACAGCTATTCATGGCTTTCAGCAATAGTAATAAAAACTTCTAGACAGTAGTTAATTTAAGAGGGCCAAAGAGAACAAAGTTATTATGAAAGAGTGTGCTCACTCAAGTATACTGGCAGTAATACCAGTGTTGTAATATCATGCCAACCATTCATTTGTGCACAATAAGTTAAAAACCCATGCCACAAATGTTCCTGCACGTATACTCACTTCAATGTCGCTTCAAGTCTGAAAAATGTTGTTCATCTGCAAGACCCTTTTCTTATATTAGTCTACATTTGAATAAAGTAAATGTGTGACCTCCATACCACAGTAGCTGTTCAAACATATTTGCACTACAATTTATTTATACATTTTTATATTGCTTTTATCTTTAATTCTTGTGTTGTTACTGTGGTGTAATGCTGCTGCTACACTGCAATTTCCCAGCTTGGGATCAATAAAGTATGTATATCTATCTATCTATCTATCTATCTATCTATATGTCTACATTAAAAGCAGCGTGGCTCTTTGTCCAGTGTGTATGGGCCCCATCTCCACTGAAGCTTTCAGTCAACCCACCTTGACTCCATGAAGTTCATGGGTGAGGTGCTCAAGCAGCATCTCCACACAGCTGTTGTAACGGTGTCTCATGAACATGCGGTACTTCTCTTCAGCACTGTGCCCCCCTGAGCCAGAACACAGACAGACAGACGGGACGATGAGAGCATCTGCAACTCTATTGGGTGTGTGTGTAACTATGTTATTGTGTTATACAAGTCAAACCCACAGAAGTAGAGTAGAAACATTCTCTTTTATAGACGCTATTCAATTAGGACTGACATTTATAACATGTGTGAGTGTGTTAAGTTTATGAAAGGACTTAAACGTGCTGTCCCGGTGTCTGTAGGTGCAGCAGTGTTCGTGTGACACTTTCTAACCTCCACTGATAGATGAATTGGAATCATTATGATGAATTATCAGCCTGTACTCACCCCCCAACGCTTCCTCCTCCTCTCCAGGTAGTTTACCGATGAAGAGCTCCTTCCTCTCCAACAAGGTGCAGAACAATTTGCCGCACGCACCGGCAGCACTGTCAACATCCTTCTCTTTTTCTGACTGCAAACGGACACGAAGAACACACAACAACACATGCAAGGTGGTGAGATAACACAACTGGGTGGCTAACCAGCATGGGTTTAGTTGTGGGTGGCGTATATTTTACCTGAAGGACCTCGAGGACGTCAAAAACGTCGTTGGCTTGTTTTCTACTCTCAAGTATACTCTCGACTTTGCCATTTAAGTCGATTTTAGCTGTTTTTACACTTTGTTGGCTTGTTTTCGCCGAACTCACGTTGCGTTTTTTGGCCGGCGCCATGTTTGCCGAGTGATGTGCCGTTCACGTAACATCCGACAAAACAGTACGTAAGGCACAAATCCTAGAAATTAGTTTAAGAGTAGATTGTATAAATATAGCTGCATAAGCTTGTACGTAATTACAAGTATTTGTATTTTTATTATCTTTCACTGCCATAGAAGTACGGCAATCATAGCTGAGAGGTAGGAGATCCACTGTACTGTAAACCCAGAAGTCATTGAATGCAACATTAGTCCATAATACTTACCTGTTGTTGCGCCCCCTCGTGACTGGAGGGCGAAGTTTTTGCTTAAATTTGATCTCTTCAGTATTTAATCATTGCTTGGGTACAGCAGTATCACATTTTTATTAAAAATTACACGAGTACCTCTCTGCTAAGTTCTGTCAACACATTATTTTCAGATTAAAACAGGAATTCAAATGAATCAATAGCTGTATGATGTAATAAAATAATACATGATTCACCACTGTAGCTCTGATGTAAATGCTATAGTATCTTCTTTTGATACTGCTGACTTTCATACTTCCAATATATGCCAATAAAAATGTACTGAAAATGAATTAAAAAGGCGTGTTTGCCTTGTAACTGATTAGTGAGATTATACAAAATCTAGATGAGCGCCAACTCTCAGCGTGGAAGCATTACATTAGCTTCAGCGGATGCAAAATGACACGGAAGACGGAGAATGGATTTTGTCACCATTTTTACAGGTGCAGTTGTGGTAAGGTACAATCGCTTCAAGGCCAGTATGGACAGGGGGAATAAGTATAGCAACCAGTTACTCTTTCCATGTACATATGGGTATGTTAGTATTCTATTAAGGTATACGTTATTGATTCCACACTGGGGAAATTCACTATTAAAATACGTATACATGAAAAAAATCCAGACTCCTCTTTAATATCAGAATCAGAATCAGACTAATAGTCAGCTTACAAGACAGACATCTTAACTACCAGCACTATTAGGACTGACACAGAGGTTGGCAGAGGGCGTCCACATTTGTTACAAGGTGAAATGAACATTATGTCACGATCAGGGAACAATAAAGAACACAAAAGGCTTTTTATTATCTTTTACAGTTTGTTTAATAACATGTGTACAAGAGAAGCTGAATTGAATACCACAAAATGAAAGTTATCCTTGGAAGATATAGTAAATAGAAAGTTTATTCCCAACAAAAGAAAGTATGTTTTGGTGAGAAAATGTCTTGTCTTTCAGCAGACCAGGTGACCTAATCGGAGGCATTTTCTACATCTGCGTTGTCCTGGAGGAAAAGAAGAGCCACAATGAATAAGAATATGTAACAAAATAGATATTTAATTTCAAACATTCATACTCCATATGACTTTAAGATACCTGTTTCTGGTCCTTATTGTCTCGTGTGTCAGCAGCCGTGGCTTCAAAGTCATGGATAGGCAGTGTGGACATCCAGCTGACCATGGAGCCCTCCTGACACTCCGTCTCAACAATGGTGGGGTAGATGTGAGCCTCCTTGAAGGCCTTGATCGCCTCCTCCTCCACGTCCCATTCCAGCCGCTCGTGCAGCCCGTCCCCACCGAATCGCTTGTTGTACCGGTCAAAGTGAACCTTTTCCAGGACCAGCCCCAAACCTGGTGCTTTGGGAACATCCACCTTCTCCTGTCCCCAGCTACGCTCCATCACCTCCTCCTTCGCGTAGCCCTTTATCACCGCAATCACCAGGCCGATCATCTTGCGGATTTGGTGCAGCATAAAGCTCTGGCCTCGCACAGTGATCACTGCGAACTCAGTGTTGCTGCAGATGAAAGGCTCTCCGCAAGACATCTCTGTGATGTAGCGGCGGGCACTGGGGTCAGTTGCGGCCTTCTGAGAGGTGAAGTTGTGGAAGTTATGGGTGCCTTTGTAGAGCGCGAACAGACGGTTCACCCTCTGTAGTGTCTCTGGCTCAAGGCGAAAGGCTGCTATATTCCCAGTATCATAGTCTTTTGGGGACAAGGCCACTGTTGGAAGCATATAGGAGTATGTACGGGCATCACAGTTGTTTTTGGAATTGAAACTCTGGGTCACACGCTTAAGACCTGTCGGAACAAACGCTAATGTTAATTGCTGAATGTTATAACCCCCCCTCCTCTCGGCCTCAATCAAGAAAACTGGATTATGAGAAGCAACTAGCATCACCTGAGGTTTGGGCGGATTCTATCCTTTAGCATTCATCATCCCAACATCTTGGACTTGTTTTTGAATATTTAATTCAGCGATTAATAAAGGTTAGCAAGAACCAACATCTCACCGAGCACTCTGATCTGTGGCGGCAGATGCTCATTGATCTTTCCAACGATGTCTTCAATCAACCACAGCTTTAGAGACACCACTTGGCCAGCTGCAGATACGCCCTAAACAAATCCAAAACACCAACACAGTTTGTTATATTGATATTATTATATTAGTAATAATGATGTATTTAAACTCTTCTCATGTTGAAATATGATAACACCACCTATTACATTACATTACATTAGTTCCCAATCATTAACTCATACCTTATCTGTTCTGGCACACCTTTGGAATGACATCTTCTTCATGTTGTCTCCGTGGTTTTCAGGAATGCAACCAGATTTAATAAGTGCAGTAACGAGTTCATCTTCAATTGTCCTGAACTGAGAAGTTCCAGGATTTCTCTGAAACGCAGGGAACACTTAGACTTAGCAATATGTAAGAAAATGAAGTGCTTAGAGCTGAGAGAGGAAACCCAGCTACAGTATGTACCTGCATGCCATAGTATCCCTTTCCAGAGTACGCCATCAGGAGGACCACTTTCTTCTTGGGATATTTCTTTTCATCTTCAGTGTGTTCCCCTTCTGCTTTTATTCTTTTGGAAGCCTGCACCTTCTCGGCAGAGTCTTCATTCTCCTCATTGGATCTTTTCAGCATCTTGGCTGTCTGCTCATCTCTGGGCCCTTCACTCATCGTGCAGAACAACTGAAAGAAGCCACCTGTGACGATAACACCAAATATCCCCCGATAACGATGCCCTAATACACCACCGTGGACCTGCAGTAGGCTAATACATCGTGTCCTGTAAGCTTATGTTAATATTAATAACAATATGTTATTTGTTGGCTTACCGTTTCTCTCTAACGTCCGTCTGTGGTTAACTAAGGCACTCAACAGCGGTCGGATTTTAAACATGTCACGCTCAGTGGCCACGCTAAACCATCACGAGAAGTTCATTCAGCTGAAAGATACAAAGTGGCACATCAGCTGAACTACGGAAGCTAACGCGGAACACGTTTCTCAGATGGAGCTAACTTTACGGGGTCCGCAGAGGAAATATATACTCCCCTAATGACCGTAAGTCTGCCCTGTAACCCAAAGTTTAATGACTATGTTCTTAAATATGTGTAATTAAAGTGTAAACAGTAGCTGTAGCTAACAGTCCTGCAGGAGTTGCGGCAACATACACACATGGCCAATGTTAACTCTGACCTCTGCTGGAAATATCGCGAGACTCGTCTTGTTCTCGTTTCTGCACACGTCACGGCAGTAAATGCAAAAAAAAAAAGGTATTGACCCTCTTTTACTGCAGTGTTGTCCCTGTTAATGTTATCTGAAACCCTATGGTTTACATTCACATGTATATATAATATAATGTTTCATATATAAGACACAGATTGGCAGTATATCAGCATACAGTCAACTCTCAGAGAGTCCCATAAGAGTTGTTATGGGAGTCAATTTAGTATGTAATAGTTAGGGATTTATGTGTTTACATTTAGTGGAGGAATAACCTGAAGGACAAATAACCACATGAAATATAGTTTACAGAGAGTTTTGAGAAAAAAATCCACATGTAGTAACATGTTTGACCACTTGAATGCAGCAAAATCACACAAATAAAGGAGTCATCCAGTTGCTTTGGAATATATGTTTTTCAATTCAAATGGCACCAGGCTATACATTTGGATTATGGTCGTCAATCTTAACTGACTCTCATAGTAAATGTAATGTTGTTATACCAAGAAAAAAATGTAGACTGAATTACATTTTTTCTCTGGTGTGCTTCAAGGATCAATAAATCAGTCAGGCCCAAACATCAACTGAGTTTTATTGCTCTTTATCATTTTCATATAGGGTAGCCTACAATTTATCATGTTATATGCTAATACCTTGTATGGACTGGCTGGTTGTGTCTAGAAGTTTACCAAGACCTCCACTCACCTTTGCGCAAATCACCGTATTCCTCTTCTGTACAATTTAAGCCCAAAAACATTATGATGAATATGGATTTGTTGTATAAAACAGAGACATGATGCACAGCACAAGCCAATCTTCATAATTTTTAGTCCATATAAAGAAGTCTTACTATATTAATCTACTAGCCACTCATCATAATGTGCTGTGACTCATGTAAGTGTAATGCATGTGCGCAAACGCTTAAGTCAAATTATAGAAGCAAAGAGGTTCAGCACTTCCAGAGCAGAGAGGTGTTTATGTCCACAACAACAAGGAATACCAGTTGCCAAGAGGCCAAACCTTGAAACGGCTCATCCTGGGATGGCTTTGAAATGCATACTTGCACTTTTTTAAAGCACCTTATAAGGTGATCAACTAGTTTAGTTGCTGAAAACCCAATGCCAAACATAGACATGCTATGGGAAAAGAACCCCGGTTGCCACAGTCCCATATCACACAAGGCATGTGCCCATTTTTCCAACAAAAGATGGTCCTACTGGACAGTGGTGATTCTAAATGTGAAACAGTGATTCTTCAAGACCAGTAATGCAGCTGATACAGTTTTGCTGGATGAAACAGCTCAGATTAGGAGCATTTTTAGTTAAATAAGCCTTCATTACTTTACATAGCCTTCTCTTTGACAGAAGAAAACAGGGGCATAAGTGAGAGGTAAATCCCAGAATTAAAAAGCTGTGAAATCGCTGAGTGAAGAGAAAGTCTTTTTCAGTTCAGTGATGATTATAAATGTTCCCAGTCAGATGTCCTACAATAACCCTGAAGTAGGCTACTAAGGTTCAAATGGCAAAACAGCAAAACAGTCTCTTAACCTTGTGGGGAAATAAATATATATATATATATATATATATATGCCCTTATGTGACATGTTAATTGTATCTGTTGGAAGCTCTTAGAAAACTCCCCTGAAG